AAGATTTGCATATCAAGTACACAGATATTCAATGACAATTATCTGATAAGGACATCTAAAAAAAAAATCACACCACTCAATAAGGAAAGTTTTTATAGAACAAAAGCTATAGAAAATCACAAGAAACATGCCTTTAAATGAAACACATTTCACGTCTTCAAAAGCATTTTTAAAAATGATCCATTTAAAGGGAAGTCTTAGATATACCACTGTTCAAGATTTTGTGGTCAGTAAGCTAAAAAAAAAAAATTAGTACTTTTATTTAGCAAGGATGCATTCAATTGATCAAAAGTGACAATAAGGACATTGTTTTAAAATGTTTGTATTTCAAATAAATGCTGTTCTTTTGAACTTTCTATTCATCAAAGAATCCTGAAAAAATGCATTACAGTTTTCACAAAAGAAACAGGAGCACAAGAATAAATTGAATTCTAAAATATGTTAAAATAAAATAAAAAGACAGTTATTTTAAATTGCAGTAATATTTTACAGTATATAACTGCAGCCTTGGTGAGGCTGCAGTTTTGAAGGAGGCTTCTTTCAAAAAACATTAAAAATCCTACCGCCCCCAAACTTTTGCACAGTAGTTAAAATATAAACTACTTACAAAAATAAATTAGACAAAATTGTACCTACTATTTGGTTTTCATTCATCAAGATGCAGTTGTGACTCATTCTCATGGACTTGGTTAGTTGTGGTGGTTGCATAAATACTTTGGCATTATTCCCAAAAATGAAGTGAAGATTCATTTTTACCTGTGACTCCTGGACACAGTGGGATTTGTGATCAGGACAGTTGAAGTCATCTCCAGTCAGGTCACTCACTACAAAGGTAATTTGCTGCATGATACCCTGTAAAGGATGACAACCATCTCCAGTCTACAGACAATGACTTTTGACTGATGAAAGCAAACAATAGACATCTAGAAAACAATAAATTCCCAATATCCATACAGAGGGAAATGTGTTTGACGAGCACAATAAAACATGTAATACTCAAAGCAATTACATTAAGTGCAATAATGCACCTCCCTGACATTTACACCTGACTATATAAAACCAAATCAACGGCAACTACTGGAAATAAAGGAGCTTATATTAGTGGCTGAGCTCAACCATCAATTGAGTTCAAATAGAGATGTTGATTATTACAAGACAACTGGTCATAAAATAAACTACTCAATAAACTGTATAAATCATGTAACAACAGCTCCAAATAAAATACAGCCCAAAAATAAAGTATTGAAGACATGTATTATTTGTCACTGACCTTTCATTGATTTACCAGCAACAAATACTGTTTTTGATCAATTTTATTTTAAATACAAATTTTGATCAAATAAATGCAGCCTTGATGAGCAAAAGATACTTCTTTAAAAACATTAAAAAATCTTGCTGATCCCAATCTTTTGAATGGCAGTGTAAATTACCCCAATTTAAACAGTAAAAAAAAATGATGTAGTGGTTTTGTTGTGTTCACTTGTTTACCCAGCAGCTATACCAAAGAATATGATATTGGCATTTATTTGGCACTCAAAAAGGTCTATTGGAAGACAGTCACAGTCATTCAGTGAGGTCCTGTTCAAATGCCACACCACTGAAAATACAAACACAATTATGAGGTTTTATAAGCAATTTTTATACCTCTAGAGAAATGTTGGATAAGTGGAGTGTTTAAACGGTGACCTGAATTTCAGTTAATATCATTACACATTCTAGTTAATATAGCTGTTGCAAATGTCACATCAAATTAACTCCACACTGAGAGGGGTTTTCAGTGGAAATATCCTTTTAATGAACACTAATGCAAATGTGATTTTAAGTGGGTTGTAAAAAAAACTCAGTAGAAAAAAAGCAAAGCAAAATAACATGAAAAATAAAAAATAAAATACTCTTTCCATGTGCATGTCCATAAGAATGGTACGTTATTTTGTTATTATGGGATACAGCTTTTCTAAACAAACAAACAAATAAATAAAATAATATTTTTTTCTGTATTGTATTTTTTATGATCTTATCATTAATCTGTGTTCTAGCACTTTGGGTTTGAGAAAAGTAGCTTATAAAATGAATTATAAATGAAATGAAATAAAATAAAATAAAATTAAAGCCATCATTATCTGTCCTTTACATACATGCCCATAACAATGGTACATATGAATTATTGCTATTAATTAAGGGACACAGAATTCTTGTCTGGGATGATAATGAACAATAATTGAGCTAAAACGAGGGTGTACTTTATTTTGGTGGTGTGTGTGTGTCTTTGCGTCTCATACATATCAGCAGATCCAGGTGGTGATGAAAGTGATCTGCACCTGCACCGCTCAAACCCCTCTGCATAGATAAACTGTTACCTCATCAGAGAACCTGGAACTCACACACACACACACACACACACACACTCTCGAATGGGCTCACGCACCCACAAATATCCCAATGCACATACACTCAAGCACATTCAGACAGAAAACATAAATATTGCTGCTGTGAGCAATTGATTAGTACAAATAACACACTACCTTTCACTAAATATAGCAGAGGCACTTCATCAGTCTGCACAAGTACAGAAGATAATTTTAGATCTGTGATGAATCATGAAGTTCTGCTGTTGTAAACACTACACATTGTGTGATGTTTTCCCCACCTAGCTTCAGCTCAGACTAATGTTAGGTTTACCATAGACCTGACAAGTACATTCAGTAAAAGAAAGTATTGGAGGGAAAAGTAACTTTATTGTCAAATCCAATACAATTTTCATCTGCAATCAAAGAGATTTCTAAAACGTAATACTTGTATATAAAAATAAATACTGTATCATACAAAGAGTAGACTGATGACACAAAGAGACTGTGAAGCATGAAACTAGCCTGCTTCCATTGCCAGTATCTTAAGGTTTTTGTTTTGGTATAAAGAAACATGTTGATCATGATGTTGTCCCATTTTAAAATGTGACATACAAACTAACGTTTGACTGATGGATGTGTTTGTTTAGACCAACGGCAGATGGTCCGTCTCGCCTCAGCTCCCTCACATATGCTGACCTGATGTAACAGCCAGATTGGCAGCACCTGGAACAGGTTCAGCTCTATATAGCATTCTTGGCTTCACTCATCCATGAGCATGAAAGGCAGAATGCTTCAACTGTCAGTGTGGTATGTCTATATGGACTCTTCTCAAAACCTGGCACACTATTTTCATCTGATCTCAGAGTCTTTCTTCATCCACGAGCAGGGAGGTCAGTTAAGTCAGTAACAGTTTAGACTCAAAGCTGTTTTTATGTTCTATTGCAGTAGGCCAGCACTATTCATGTCATTTTGAAAGGTCTTGAGAAAATGTCAGGTTGGCAAATCTATGAACAGTCACCACATCATATGAGCTTTTAGGAATTAAAAATACTTTAAGAAGGGACAGTGCAAATTGCAAAATTGCAAAAACATTAGTAACAACAACAATAACAATAAAACTAACAAATGCGCTGTTCGGGGTCATTTAAGACCCCAAATGAAGGTTGCTGAAATAATAAAAAAAACTTCCCTTCATATGCATGTTAGTGTGAAAAAGTCACACCCAGGATGTTCGGGATCTCTGGAGACCACACATCGAAACAAATGGGAAAAAAAGATAAAATAAATATTTTTCTTTTTAAATTTGTCAAATAATATCACTAAATCAGCAATAATGCAGAACACAAATACACAGAAATTAAGTGGCAACATACATTCTCACACAGGTGTACACCCTAAATGAACAGTGCATAAGGGTTAAATTTAATTAAATTAAAATGATCTATCTACCATCTACCCATGTCATCCCATATAGTGTATCTACCCACATGTCCTATCTACCCATGCATGTATCTCCCCATGTAACCATGTCTACCCATGTACAGTATCTATCTATATATCTACCATCTATCCATATCTCTAACCATATATCTACCCAGGTCTACCCATGTATCATCCCATCTACCATGTCAACCCATATATCTACCCATCTACCCATGTCTATCCATTTATCTACCCATATATCTATCCAATGTCTACCCATATACCCACAAATCTACTCATATATCTATTTACCCATATATCCACCCATCTACCCATGTCAACCCATATATCTGCATATTTCTACCCATATATCTATCCAATGTTTATCTATATACCCATGTCTACCCATATTTTTTTCCATGTGTCTACCCATATATGTAGATACCCACAAATCTACTCATATATCTCTTTACCCATGTCTACCCATCTACATGTCTATCCATATATATACCACCATATATCTACCCAATGTCTACCCATATATCTATCTACCCAGAAATCTACCCATATATCTACCCATGTGTCTACCCATACATCTACCCACGTCTAAACATCCACCCATCTATCTACTTATGTATATTCATATATCCATCTACCCATAAATCTACCAATATATCTATTAATCTACGCATATACACTTATATGTCTATCAATCCATCCATTCATTCATCCATCCAACCATCCATTTAACTGCCTACCCATCTCTTGTGGGATCACAAGAGATCTTTTTCCTCAGAAATGCTTCTAAAATGATCCTTACAGTCTAATGCTATATGCTTAGCACATTCGTGGGCATTCTCACTTTTTGTTTTTATAGAAAAACAGATGGTTGGGCTTTCAGGAAAGTGGGACATGCCAAATATAGACAGCAGCAGTAAATCATCATCAACAACACACTGCTGAAGCGCTACAGAGAATCTCACAGTTTGAAACAGAGTTTATACATAACCACGATACTGCCAATAGAGCCATATAGAACGGAAGAAATAGTTTTCAACACCCTCAGAGCTGACTGAAAACAGTATGCTAGATCAGAGAATCCACTCTAACCACTCACACATGGCATTGCATCCAGTATCAACTGTAAAACAAATCACACAGAACATCAACCATAAGATTTAGGAAGCAGAGACTGCTGCAATGGGAATCTATTTTTATTTTATATAATTCACAAGGCAGCGACCCCCAGCAGGCCATGAAGAACAAGTACCAAATACTCTCTATTCACATTCAGGAACATGTCAAGAAAACAAATTACAACACAACACATGATACAGAAGTTCTCTTGAGGGGCAACTGATTTTAAAATGCTTATAATAAGATGCTGGAATATACAGAAACTAACCAAAGATCTTTATTAATTAAAAAATGCTATGTAATTATCTTTGTTTTGTTTGTTTCTTTGTATCATTTATGTGGAATCGAGAGAGGAGACCAGTCTGAGGAGGCATGTTGGGTGACCAATAACACTGGTTCCATACTTCTGTTACAATACTCAAAAGACTAATATTACACGTTACGCCCATTTCCTACAGCTACTTTTCAGTCCCAGCTCACCATATTCAGGCTACACGTACATTTTGAATTTTGCAAATGCATTCGCAAGAGCAGCTTTTCTGCTAGGCCTAGCACGTAAGAAGGAGGTGATGCATCTCATCAATTTAAACTACAAGACTCATTCAGTTTCTATGCCAAACTATAAACGGAAATTCACAATTACAAATTAACCCAAAGGCAACAAACACTCACTGTAATTGCTTTCCCATTATTTTAATAGAGCTAGAGGGGTGAATCACAGTTAAACATGTACAGGTCATATCTTACCCTTTTTGTTGTTGTTGCTTTGAAATTATAATTTGCATAGGAAGAAAGGATCCCTATTTGTGTACCATTAAGATTATTTGCATTGTGACATTATTTTAAGGACATTATTTCCCCCAAATTCTCATGATTGCAATGCATCCAGAATTTTTTATTATCACAAGATTCTCATAAGACTCTCCTGTATTCATACTTCACAACAACAGTAAATATCCTTTTTTTTTTTTGCATTTTGATATAATGTTCGCAACCCATTGTACTTTTGTATTGTATTTACTGCACAAGTAAAAAATTATATGTAGCAATGCAAAAATTCATAATGGTTGCTTGCATATTGGATGCTTCATTTTCTTTTTGCAAAATATAATAGTTTATTTTTCCTCTTGGCTTTGTGGTGAAATAATGACCCTGACAGTCTTTGTGAGATTCACCCCAAGAGAAACTTTAGAAATTTTCTTAAGGGCCAAGAATAATGAGATAAGTCTAATCAAACATAACATGGTGTATGTGAACCATTTCAAATAGATTGCATTACAAATAGAAAGGACAGGGATTGGTCATTGTGTCACAAAAGATAACATCTTTAAGACAATTTATATTCTTTACAGAAAACATGGCTTGGAAACTTCTCAGTACATATACTGGATTTATAATATTTACATACAATACATGAGTCCTCCATATAGACTCCACTGTTAAAGGCCAGGACGTCACCTGGATCCACTTGCATTAACGTCATGCACTATTTATCAGGCCCTTCACATCCCTGTTAACTTCACGGAATGTCAGTCATTATTACGATATGTAGTTAAAGGGGTATTTACCTCTCGTCATAGACAGACTGAACATCACTGCCTGCATTCTGAGTGTGTGTATTGGAGTGTATGCTTGTGTGTACCTCCTAAATAAACTTTCGACACAGGTAGCAGAACAATCAGGATGTCAAAGCCCCCGTTACGCATCTGTCATCTGCCCATCAGCCTCTGAAAATCATAAACAAGTGGCATCCACATGTACACTGCTGTATACCATGCCAGGAAAGGTCCATGTAAATGCTGTGTCTGAACACACTGTCCTTATTAGCAGTATACAGATTTTCTGCTGATGGGACATCTCAATATGTGGAGGCAGGTTTGAAAACCTGAGTGCGTTCAGGCAAGACCCAAATCCTGATGATGCGTTTGGATGCATCTGCATTAGCCAGCGCTTCATCTATGGGCGGGTTCAGAGAAAGTGTAAGGGCACAAACCCGATCTTCAACCTCAGTGTGCTCATGCTTGGACTGTTGATCATTTCAACATGTTTGCTGCTGTCCTTTCACCACAATCAGTTCTTTAGTATGGTTCTTCTGAGATGATTACACATCTCTGATCGGACTCCACATTCACAGACACACAAATAAACACACACAGGCATATTTTTTCCTTAGATCCAGGCACAAAGTTCAGAGGCATCAATCCGAACGTCAATCTAACACCGGTCATCCTCATCAGTGTCACTGAGAAGCTCGCAGCCTGATGTCCCCGACGTGGCTTGTGCTAGTCGTTTACGGAAATGTCCGTTAGGCACCTGCCAGGTGTGACGTAGTTGTGGAGCGGAGCTGATGGTGTTGGAGCGTCCCAGGCTGGTTGCCATGGCAGCCTCAAAAGTGAGAGTCTCCTTTACACCACTTGAGTTCGGACTGTTAACGTCCTCCTGCAGTGGCAGGTATGGCTCCGAGATGTAGCGGTGAGGGGTGGAGTGGGCCATGGCGGTGCCTGGCCTCGTCCCGGTTGGTTCTTCCCCTTCCTCTGCGGGCTGGGCCCGTGCCCGAACCTCCCCTTGTGTGGGTTGAGCGCGGCACACTAATGGAGAGTAGGAGATGTGGGGCCGAGGCCGAGAAGGTGTCTGTGGGAGTTGACGGCGCCCTCGTGGCGTCCCTGAATCAGAAGTGGAAGGAACTGGGCTGCCTGAACTATTTCCCTATATGGATAAGAAGAGATGGGGTAAATGATTAAGGGTAAATATAGTGAGAGAGATAGAGAGAAAGCAATGAGATGATGGAGGGAAGAAATAAAGGCATAATTATGTACATTACTGTTCAAAAGTTTGGTGTCTCTAAGATTTTGTAAAGTTGTTGTGGACAGAAGTTTCTTATGCTCACCAAGGCTACATTTATTTGATCACAAATATAGTAAAAACAGTAATACTGTATTGTGAAATATTATTACAATTTAAAATAACTGTTTTCTATTTGAATATATTTTAAAATGTAATTTATTTCTTTGATGACAAAGTTGAATTTTCAGCAGCAATTTCTCCAGTTTTCAGTGTTACATGACATTTTATTTTGCTGATGTGGTGCTCAGGGAACATATATTATTTTAATCAATGTTAAAAGAAGTTGTGCTGCTTAATAATTTTTGTGGAAATCATGATGCATTTCAGGATTCAGGATTCTTTTATAAATAGAAAGTTCAAAAGAACTGAGTTTATTTGAAATATAAATCTTTTGTAACATCGTAACATATTTTTACTGTCACTTTTGATCAATTTAATTAATCCTTGTTGAATAAAAGTATTAATTTCCATCCCTAACCTTTTTAATGATACTGTAAATCGGTGGGATTTTTTGACCATTTAAGTCCAATCACTTAAAGAACTAATGGCTCACTTCTATTAAATTAGAATCGTGATTTTATGATAATACCCGTAGCACAAATGGCACATGAAAAAGTGCAATACTCAGGATTAAGGGATTGTTCAGATTACAAACCCTTAGCATTTCCTTTCCATAGCAAACACTAAATATTCTGCCAGGTCAGAGGGTGTGCACATGTGTTTGTGTCCTCACCTGTCTGAGGGTTGTGTGCTTCCTGCCCTCACTGGGCGATCGAGAGTGGCGTCTCTCCTGGGACTGACTCCTTTCCTCTGAGTTGCAGCGAGACACGTCTGGAGACAGCAGGTGTCTTCGCTCTTTAGACCGTCCTCTCTCTTTGTCCACTGGCTCCCGCAGGTTTGACCTGACAGCTGCACATGCACAAGCATAAGCACATGTTAAGACAAGTGCAGACACAAAAATACACATAAATGTGGCCATAGCCTGGGCATCTTAATAAAGCACATACACATGTCCGATATCAATCCTGGTCCTGGGGACCCAGCAGTCTGCACATTTTGTATGTCTCTCTTACCTGATACACTCAATTTATTGAGCTCTCAACTGATGAGCTGATGATCTGAATCAGGTGCGTTAAATAAGGGAGAGACCCCCAAGACCGGGATTTAATTATGTTTTTCAATATTAGTATTGACTTGGTACCAAAGTACCAGTGCTTTTAACATCCCTACTGCAAACTGACCTCTGAAGCTTCTTTGCCTGGGTCTTTCCAGTCTGTCTGGGCTCACCCTCTCCAGCGAGAACTCTTCCTGCCAGTCACCATTCACACACTGATCACCGATCGTGGAGAACGAGCGCTTCATCAGTTTGCTCTCTGAAGACACCTGCTGTACATGCACAAAATACAAAAACACATAGAGAACAAACAAAACACGCACACAAACCCCAAGAGCACACATGCATCAACAAACAGAACACAAAAACAGAGACAAAAATGAAACAAATTCATGTTATGCTGTAAGATTTACACATTCTCTCTTTGAAACCGTACATAGTGACATTAAACAATGTAAATGAAATGAGTTTCTATATAAAAAAGTTTCTGAACTGAGCTCTAACGAAGGCAACCATCACCTCCTTACATTCCCTGCTGGAAAAAACAGGTTGGTCAAGCTGGTTAAGATGGTTTGTTTCTGGTAGCTGGTTACATCATAGGTCCCTACTAAATTAAATAAGGTGGTCCACCAGTTTTAAACAGTTTTAAAAATTAAATCATATATAATATTAATAATTATTTTATACACTAATAATATATCAATACTATATTACTTTTATATTTATATAAATGATCAAAACGAAATAATCAAATATATTTATATAACTAGAATATTTTCAGAATTCATATTTTAAACACTATGATTCCATATTAATATTCTCAGAGGTTTTGCTACATAAAGATGTTACCAAATCAAATCAGAAGCTGGTTTTAGTTTGAATTTCCAGCAGGGTTACACATTACATTCCCACCAAATCACAAACTACACCTTTCTATTCACTGCTTCCATTCTCTCTTTGGGATCAACTGCAACGCTGACACCATCCACAGAGCAGATTTAGACAGAGCAGCTAGTTATTGCTAGGCTATGCAAACACAGGTAGTACCTGTGGCTCTATCGCCAGGCGAGGCATGGAAGAGGCTCGGATAGAGACGCCTCTCCCTGGCACTTGCAGAGGATCGACCTGCATGCTAGTGGGGCACAGCGCACTGCTAAATTCTTTGTGCTCGGGCACCTACGCAGTTAGAAAGAGAAAAACCGGGGAGGAGGGAAAGACATTCAGTCCACAACACTTAGTAGCTCTAAAGTCCCATTCACACCAAGAGCGATAACAATAGCTATAACGATAACTATATTTGCGTTCACACCAGCATTTTTTTTTTTTAAGCTTACACACTCCAGTTTTAAAATGAATGTACAACGATGTAAGTGACCTGCTGCTGTTTTACGTTTTGCAAAGACACCAAAACGTTTAGCAAAGACACTGAAACTGATATCCTACATGAGATAAAGACGAAAAAGTTAAAAGAATCCGTCACTCTGCTAATAGAGTTTCGCGTTTGAAGACAAATTTTATTTATACTTCTGTATTAGTGAGTATCAGTTTTTGCTGTTGCATTTACATGGCTTTAACCAGCAGATGTCTTCAGCATGCCTTGTTTTGAGCATATCAGTAAATCTAGCTAGTGTAATCTATTTGATTTGACATCGAATTTAGCTAATGCAGTCAATGTAGCGGAATAATGCAACTCCAAAGGAGGCAAGACAATGTTGTCGAAACTAGTGCTGTATACATGAGGTAGTTTTATGTTTTCATGTTACTCTGTTTGCTCTGTAGAACTTCTCCGTAATGTCTTCTGCTATTTTAATGTGCAAGCCCTAAATTCAAATGAAGTCTTTCAGTGTTTTATTGTTCATCAGCTGTAAAAACTATTCTGAAATTGATCCCAACAATATTGTTTTCCTATATCGTTATAGTTGTGGTGTGAACTTTGCTATTCTCCTCAATTTAGAATGATTTTTAGAGTTATCATTGACATTCTTGGTGTGAACAGGCCTCAAATATAATCGCATTGTTAGGAGTGGACATAGAATAAAAATGCAAGGTTATGTACTAAAGTCAAAATAACCTGGCTAATCTTATACTCCTTTTTAGGAGCAAGTATTTATTTAAAGATAAGAAAAGATAAGCTTATATCCAAAAATGTCATAGAGGAAAAGTAAAGTGGCAAGAGGGAAGCACCATAAGCACAACATAGAGCCAATACGTATAAGCAACTCAAAGGGGGTGTAGAAAGTTTCAAAGCAGAAGTCACACATATTGTGCATACACACAAGCGCTCTTGCACAAAAGTGTTCCAAGCATAAACCAACTTAAAATCCCATAAGACATCTAGTGTTACATCACAGCTCATGGCAGAGAGGCAAAGAAAAAGCTACCAGGAGGGGTAGAAAATAAGAGTACAGATAAGAGCACAGAAACACATCTAAGCTTGTGTATAACTGCTCACTGGTTATATAAGTGCTGGAAGTTATCTGGACCTGGCAGTCTAACCTTGAGAAACCACATCAATACACGCTTCCAAATTTACAAAAAAAAACAGCTCTCTAAAATCTCTCCTTTTACAAGGCCAGAAGGCAAATAATAAAGGGATGACAATAAAGCTGCAAATGTGAAAAGAAAATGAGTTAGGAAAAGTAGAAGCATAACGCAGGATTGTGATTCAGGGAGGTGATGTCCATGCAGATGACTTTCTGATAGATTAAATATCAATGCCAATTACAGTCTGTGCTTTGCAAATCATATCTCAAAATTAAGACTCTGAAAATTTTGTTTCACTTTTCTATTCCTAAAACTTTTACAAATTGATCAGTGTCTGGCTGTGTGGTATTCAGACCCTGTTACCATTTCTATCAGTTTTCCAAACTGAATTATTCATAAATCGCTAGGGAATTGACTGAGAATGAGCCTGAATTCACATACAGTTTGAGAATTTTAAATAGATTGTGAATTTGAATGTTGTTTCAGTAACAAAGTAGCTATCAGGTATTTCATGCACATGTATAAAATAATGAATAAAACACATCATGCAAGACATGTCAAGGTGAGATGTATTTCTTTGTGTATTTAGTTTCTCCTACCATACTCTGAAGGTGATACTGGTGTTGGTATTCATCCCTCTCTTCCATGCTGTCTTGGGCCAAGGGCTGCATGAAGAGATCTTGAGGGGAGATGGGACTCAGTGCCACAAACCCACCTCTACTCCTGAGGAAACAACAGAGAAACTTGTCAGCTATGCTCATGTTGGCTTGCACCACAAATAGGTTGCAAACTGTGGGTCCAAACATCGTTTTATGTATTACCTTTTATTTTATTATTATCTTTATTACAAAAATTGTGATTGTGTCTCTAATGCTTTAAAATACTGCACTGTATTGTGTATATACAGTGTATATACAGGAGCAGACCAGGGTTATTATTAACCCTAACCCTATAAGCTAAAACTAAAACCATGACAAAACATTTTCACTACTTAAAATATACATTAACTGAATATATTTCAGCTAGTTGCCAAAGCAACATTTCTCATTTGAAATAATAATTTATTTTAATTTAATTAACTTAAGCTGAAGTACTAAAACAACAAACTAAAATAAACTAAAACTCAATTATAGAACTAAATATTAATATATAACATATTAAAAAAACTAACAAAAATTACAAAAACAACAAAAAATTACTTAACTAAAAATAAAATGAAAACGGAAAATATGAAAATAAAATCTAATTCAAAATCTTAAAAACTATATTAGTATATCAATGATACTAAAATAAGACTGGTTCAGACAAATACAGGGTGAATGTACTGTAAGTACACACACACACACACACACACACAACATGTATAATTACAGGGCAGATCCTGCACTGTGGGACAGGAATGGCAGAGCTTTGGCACTGCAGAGAATGTCCTGTGGCAGTGAAGATGCATCCATGCGTTGGAACATCGGTGCATGTTTCTGCAAGACAACATTAGATGGTCAGCACAATCTTTCCAACGACACAGTGATCCAGTTCCCCAAAAAACAGTACATCTTTTTCAACTTTAGGAAGTTTACACTTCAAATTGAGATATAAAGGTTTTTTTGTTATGTGTCTTCTTTAGTAAAATGAACAGCATTCTATACAGTTAGATATATGGCATTGGCAATGTCAATGTTGCAAGCTGATTGAACAAGCATGAAAAGTCTTTAGCTCTGAAGTTCTCTAGTGCTGTAGAAAGTAAAATACATCTTTACCTGTTCCTCAAGCTGTTGCCGGAGCTTCTTAGCTTTGTTCTGTTTGTAGTAGTCCATGATCATCATGGCTGCATAAATCTTCCCAATGGTCATGTCACTGGCTGGAAGAAAGATTTGTTTGTTGTGGAAAACGTACTCGGTTACTAACGTAACCTCGGTTCCCTGAGATATGGGAACGAGTACTGCGTCTTGCTTAAGACGCATATGGGAAAAAGCCTTTTTTCTCCTGAACTGAAGCCTATTTCATTCACGCAGTGAAACTGCACGGCCATTGGTTCGTGCAGGGCTTTAAAAAACTAACCAATGGCGCGGCAGCTGAGCTGCACGAGCCTATGGCGACGAAGCCCGCCAGAATGGGCGGGGCATCTGGCTATATAAGCGGGCGCTCGCCACAGGATTCTCAGGTTTACTTCGACTGAAGCGACGACTGAGTCGTGCAGCTACATAGCACGGCCAGCAACGCAGTACTCGTTCCCGTATCTCAGGGAACCGAGGTTACGTTTGTAACCGAGCACGTTCCCTTTCGATACTTCACTCGTACTGCGTCTTGCTTAAGACGCATATGGGAACAGTACAATCACGCCGTGCTAATGTAGTGGAACGACTAAAGGTATAACTTCCATAAGCAACCAATGCTTATAGAGAAGTCAACAATAACCCAAGGCTAAGCGGGCTGAGCTTTCTAGGTCACACCCGGCCTGGTTAATCGTTCCAGAGTATACCCGTAACTTCGACACCCAGGGGTCGAGAGCTAACAGGTGAACAATACCAGAGAACTTGGGCGCGGCACGGCCAAGGGCTCTCTGTCATGTCTGTTTACGCAGCGCGTGCCATTTCAAGCGGAAAGGATCCTGGCCTGTAAGGCCGGGACTTCCAGGTTATAAAACCTCGCAAATGTGGACGGCGAGGCCCAGCCGGCCGCCTCACAAATATCCGCAATGGACACACCACTGGACCATGCCCACAACGAGGCGATGCCTCTAGTCGAGTGGGCCC